AGTGCAAGGCCCTGCTCCCCTCCGCCCGGGGCTGGCTGTGAGGAACCCAGCGCAGCAACCTGACCACGGCAGGGGAGACTGCCTGGCCCCCGAGGCGGCTCTCCGGGCTCAGGGCTGGCACTGTGAGCAGCCCGGGGCAGAGGGCTCCGTTGGGCGGCCGGGTGCCCGCCTGCCAGCTCCTCCCCGAGAACACTGCGCGGGCCGAGTCTGTCATCTCCCTGCTCCCTGGAGTCCCCAGTCACGAGCCCTTCCTCTGCACATGGGCAGGTGTCTGTGTTTTATGTGAACCATGTTTCCATGGTAAATAGATTTTAAGACTTCCCAAAGGACAGACAGTGTCACCAACAGCAGAGTGGAGCCTCTGGCTGCCTCGTGTTTGAAAGCGTTAAAAATGAAGACAACATTGACATTTGGGGTTGTAATGTGACGGAATTACAGTCTTTTAAAGGCAAGAACCACTTATCTACACTACATGTAATATTCAGTGTTTTGTTCACTTGTCTAATTGGATTAAAATATTTAGCTCCCTTTAAAATCTTGATTGTGAATTTATATTGCAAAATGTAATGTCTGACTCAGGAAGCAGTAAGTGGAACAAATGTATCTGAAGCCATATAAAATTCATCTTATTTTTCTTCCAGGATTCTAGTTCTGAAAGTGTTCACTCTCGGACAGAGTGAACTGTTAACAGCAGAGCAAGCCTGGCTTCAGCAAAGCCCTGAGCACTTTTCAGTATCAGTTGTGCACAGGTTGCCTGGTGGAGAAACAGTTACTCAGTCTGCATTCAGGTTGCTGGGAAAGTTTCTCTGAGGGTCCCGAGACCCTTATGTTAGAAAAGCAGCACCTGGGGTCTTATGTCATTCTTGAAAACCACTCAGGCAGCAGGGAGTTAATGACATTTTAGCTGCATATGTTCAAGTTTATTTTAAAAAAATATGCAAGTCACTTTGGTTGACAGTGTCTTGTACACAGTTTTGAAAGAATCAGGGCAAACTTTAACAGAGTCAGTTTTTATTTGAAAAATATTTTCTGGGAATGTATCAGTGTTTATTTTTGAGACTGACAATTCGGGTGAAAATCAGGATAAAAACAAAAAAACAACAAATTGGTTGAAATCAAATTGTTTGTTTTCATCTATTTAGAACTCTTTCCAAAAAATCTTGGTTCGGGAGGAGGCTTTGTGATTTATTTTATTCAGTGTATTTGCTGTTCTATTCAGGCACCATCTGTCTTGCAGGTAGCTAACTTTGTGGGAGCCCTGAAGTCAGCTGGGCAAAGCCCCTGGGGCTGCAGGAAGGACCCAGCGAGGTGACAGCCTCGGGGTCCCCTCCCCAGCCACTGGGCCACCCTCTTCCCACAAGTGTGGTTCCTCAGCCGGACAAGAGCCTATGCCTCCCTCTGCCTCTGCTCGCCCTGAGCAGGCCTCTCCTCCCCTCCGCAGTCTGTGTCTGTTCCTCCTGCTTGTTTTTCAACTCCATTCTATGAGTCCTTTGGTGTAATGAGATAATGTCGATGATCTTGAATATAATCACATATGGCTGCTGGATCCATGCACAAGTTTAAATCAAATTAGAAAGTAAATTCGCTGCCAAGAATGCTTAAAAGTCATAGGGCCAACTGATTAACCACTGACAAGTCAGTTTCCGACTCTGTTTTCTAAACTGTAAGTGATTCATACGAAGGGCCTAGGAGGGAATCCCTCCCCAGCCTGAACGTCGAGGATGGAACCCACCAGCCTGTGCAGGGCCGCAGCCATCTGAAACGCCAGCCAGCTGCAAGCAGTCATTACCAAATAAGTCCACGGACGCGCCTGGATGTTTCGGAGGACGCTCTCCGCGGACAGACACTTTCTGTCCTTTCCCTGTCCCAGATGCCATTCTCCCCAAGAACAGACTCTTACTTCCTCATCAGCTGTCTCTACTCTTCCTGGCCAGATGTTAGGCACCCCCGGTGCTTGGCTGGAGTCTCCTGACCCTGCTTCAAGCTGTCAGGCCTGGCCCAAGCCCCCTGAGACCAATGGGCCTCACCCCAAATGCCGAGGGCTCAGCCTTGCCGCCCCGAGCCTGTCTCATGAGAGAGGCACCCAGCGCAGCCCTGCCTGGGTGCTGTGGGGTGACGGTAGGCACACAGATCGCAGGGGATCGTGGTCACAGTCTCTGCTTCTCCACAAGGGCAAGTACAGCCATTTCACAACCTAAGAGGTACTTTCTAGGGCTTTTTCCCACATAGTGAGGCCGGAGACTAATACAGCCATTGTGTTCAGTTGAGCCTGAACCGAGAACAAGCCAGCGGACCAGCCTCGAGCTTGGGGGCCGGGGCTGGAGCCCCCTCCGCAAAGGCTGGCCCACAGCACACCAGCACCGTACGTGCTCGCGTCTCCAGGGCATGACCAGGACTAGCTGGCTGCCAGACATGGGCTTGCGTGTTTCCGAACTGAAACAGAAGCCATTTAGGGTAATCAGGCCTTCTGAACAAGCCAGACACTTCCTGTAAGGGGCCACAGGCCGCCCAAAGCCACTCCATCCGGCCTCTGCTCAGGGCAGTGGGCTCAGGACAAATGAAGGAGCGAATTGGAGGAATGTGACTCAGCTTCAGAGCAGCTGCCTGGGCCAGAAAATATGCATTCTCTTTTGGGTACTGAGTGGACAGAGATTTTTAGAGTTTAACATGCAAAATTAAGCCATTATGCGTAATTCATCCAGACTGAGAAAATGGAAGCCTTTAGTGAAACCATCCCCAAACCGGAGATGGAGACAGCTGTAAACCTCAGATGCCCGCACGCCGGGCCCAGGCACTGTCCCTGGGAAGGCAGCACGGCTGACGGCCAGGATCCCTACGCACAGCTTCCCGGAAATACCTGCCTGCGTCAACGGCCGCAAACCCGGCCTGTGGGCAGCAGGGACACTCACGGGCACGGGTGGCCGAAGCCAGCGAGACCCTCACATGTGCAGGAGCAGCTCGGGTCAGGCTGGGCCCGGGGCTGGCAAAGCGCGTGCCAGACAGAACCCTGCCACCTCTGACCGCTGCTGGTATCTGCCGTTGAAAGCAGACGTTTCCTCTACCAAACTGCTTTTGTCAGGCTCATCTTAAAATAACTCCAAGTGTAATATCTGAATCCGAAAGGCCGCCTTGGAGATGAGCCGGATGGGCCCGTATCAGATCACTCGGGATGGGCAAATCACTTCTGTTCCTTCAGGCAAGGGAAGAAAGACCTGCTATCTTTTCCGAGGGTTTTTTGAGGCTTGGAAGTTTTTAAAGATGCATTTTGTGCAAATGTTGCGATTTATTTGGCAGTTACCAGATTTTTAATGCCCTGGAAGAAGCCCCTAAGCACCAATGGTCTGTGTCGAGATCTGAACGTGAGGTAAAGCAGGCAGAGGGGAGGCAACAAGCAAAGCGTGTGTCACCGGGAGGAAAAGCGCTGCTGCCCTGCGCTTCACTCTTTGAGGCCTGTCCCAGCTGGATCCTCAGTTACTTTTTAGGTCATTTAGAGGCCAAAAGAGTCACTCATGTCACGAGTCCGGGTCCCTCCATCACATGTGATGGGAGCCTCCTCACCTCAGTGTCCCTCAGCTTAGCCGGACCAGGCCCACAGCCGGCAGTGCCTGCCCACCCCGCCCAGCTGCAGGCTGAAGGATGACACTCAGCCTGCACGGGAGGCTGGCAGCACAGTGAGGACGGTCCTGTGCCTTTCTCCTGCCCTCCCGGGACGCTCCCATGCTGGGGGAAAGACATTTCCTCAGTCTAAGTACCTGAGACCCTGCCGAGGGTGCTCACCACTTCTGACACCCTTTTCATAATGTCCCGTGCAGATGGGGACACAGGCCCAGAAGAGGTGTGGATGACTTGGCCAGGGCCTCAGGACAGTGCCACGGTCTGGGATCCTTTCTGGTCATTCTGGCTCCAAACACTCTGCAGGTTCCCAGACCTTAGTGTCCCCCACACTAAGCTACCCAGTGTTTTCTTGGGGCCCTGCGCCCAGACACGCTGCCGAGAGATGTCAGGAACACCTGGCCACTGTGTCTGTTTACCACTGTGGTCTCCTCCTTCCCCAGTGGCCACACAGTGAGACAGCAGGGAGCATTTCTGTTGTGGCCTCAGCTCCAGGCCAGGCACCAGGCTGTGCTCACTGCTACTTGGTGGTCACCGAGTAGGGAAAACCAGTGGTTACAGCTCCCTGCTGGCCCTGTCGGACGTGGTCATCTAGAAAGGCGAATGAGAGCAATTCCTCATTGTTTCCATTTCCAGATACTCTTTTCCCATGAATCATTGCCAGCACGTGCTGCAGGAAGTGGCTGGGCCCTCCCAGAGCACTGGGGTGCAGCACCAGTAAAGGCAGATGCCACGGCCAGCCCACACCACATGTGTCCTAAAAACTGCTAGACTGGGGCAGAAAGCAGAGCCTCTCTGACAGCAAGAGAGCAATTTGGGAGAAAAGGCGTTTCATTCCAGTCTCCAGACTCACCTGGACTCTTTCTTCCCCCATTATCTAACCAGGACGGGGAAGGCCGGGGCTGTCGTCAGACTTCGGTCCGGTGTGTAGTGTTGCTAGCTGCATATGCTTGTTTGAGCCTCAGTTTCCCTAACTGAAAAATGGGGACCAGAACATCCATCTTGCTGGCTTGCTCCAGGCGAAGAAAGCCAATGTGAGTTCTTCATGTACGGCAGCCCGGCCTCCGTGAGCCCAAAGGCTGACCTGACTCTCAGCAGCTGAGTCAGGACAAGGCCTGGGCGTCAGGGTGAGCTCCTAGCTGGGCCCACCTGTCCTCGGCCAGTTCCATCCCCACACCCTCAGAGGCATTTCAGCCACGCCTCCATGATACCTGCCTGACCATGTGGTCCTCCCTGTCCTCCTCTCTCTGGCCAGTGCTGCATGCCCGGTGTGACCCAGGGCTGTGCAAGGACTGGCTCAGCGCAGGTCTCGGTGCCCCTTCCTTCTGCACAGGCACCACTTCCGGGCCTCAATTCCTGACTTTCAAGCTGCTCTGACCAAGTGACAGGATAACCTGGGTCAGTCACGGAGCAGCCCAGAAACAGGACCCCGAGCTCCCACCTGCACTCCCCTCCCATGCCGGCTCCTGTACCTGGGCCCGTAGCCGGTCCACCTCTTCTGACAGGCTCTGTCTCTCCAGGAGAAGCTGGCTCTGTCTGTTGAGCAGCTGTGCCAGCTGCTGGGCTGTGGCCTGGCTGTGCTTATCCAGCTGCCGGAGCCTGGAGAAGAAACCAACAGAGTTAGAGATGGTGGTAGGAGTTGGGGGCTTCAGGGTGTCAGCTTCTCTCCCTGTGACAGAGCAGCTGAGGTGATGGTCATGGTTTCAGTCTGTGGCTTCCCTTTGGGCTTTGCTGAGGCAGCACACACGGTGGGCGTGCATGGAAGAGGACAGCCTCACCTCACAGGGGCGGGGAGGCAGAGAGAGGAAGCACAGGGCCCCGGCCCCTCGCCCGCCCTCCCGGATAAATGCCACGCCCCTGTGGCCTAATTTCTCCCACCCAGCCCTACCTCCTAATGGTCCCACCACTCCCTAGGAGGGCCTCAGCCTGGACACCAAGCATCCAACACGTGGGCCTACAGAGGACATTCAAGCGCCAGGCCACAGCAGTGTGTCCCAGGGCAGCTGCCGAGGAGACCGTGGGCTGGAAGTCTAGGCTGAGGCTCTGGCCTTCAGCAGGGCCTTGGTGCACATTTGTTAAGGAGCAGATGTGAGCCTTCCTACCATGCTGCCATTAGAAAACACAGATCATTTGAGCTAAAGCCCAAACTCACAGGCAGAGGTCAAAGAGGAGAGGCCTAAATGCCTCCATTGTACAGCTGGCCCAGGCCCTGGCAGACGGAGCAGACAGCAGCCCCGGCTAGAGGAGCGGGTGAGGGGGACAGAAACACTGATCTAAGGGTTTTCCATTATTAATCACCCAGTCAATCATGAGCTCGGGCACTGCTGACCAGATGTCTTTAAAGATACCAAATTTGTCATTCTGCTGATGGGCTCTGCTCCCCAGACTTGCTAATTCACTCTATTATCCTCATCTGGCCACAGAAGACTTCCTCCAGCCAGCCGTGCCCTTGCCCATGGAAACGCGCTTTTGGATTAACCCTCAGCAGGGACCCAGACTGTTCTGGAAGGAAGTTAGGGGTGTGCCCTTCCTTAGCCCTTGCTAGTCAAAAGCACCAGCAGGAAGAATGAGTTGTATTTTCACAAGCTCAAGATGCATTTCAAACTCCACGCTACCAAGTCAAGTCTTCCCAGACGGCTCTGCAGACGCTGGGAGGAGCTCTCCTGCGTGGGGTTTCTGGTGAGCTCCGGAGGCCAGAGACGTGGGCCTTAGTGTTGGGTCTGCTTCATTTAAAGGTCGAGGCAGCATCTGGCCACAGGTAAAATGCATTCTGAGCAACCTGCATGGTGTTTTGCTCGCCCCCTCACCAGATTCTAAAGCAAGGAACAGTACAACCCACTCCAAGTCCCCTTCCCACCGCCAATCGCTCTTCTCAGTCTTGTATGCAGTTTTCATTCAAGGGGCCCGAGTCCCAGCCTCTCCTGTGAACACAGGGCGGGCTCCCCTTTTCCAGAACGGGGCTGCTTTTCAGCTGGAGTGGGCGCCCCACACCCGCAGGCCTCAGGGACTGGGAGCAGGAGCGGTTGGGCGGGGCTGAGCCTACACCACGCATGCTCAATTACGACCCCTCCCCCAAGCCATCCGGCCACGCCCACAACATGGAGCTAGAGGAGGAAAGGAGGACAAAGGAATGGCTCTTCCTTCTAGGTTCTCCATCAAGCCTTAGCAAAGACTTTCTGTCCCAGCATGAGCGCTTTCCTGAATCTGTGCAGTATCCTGCCTGTGATCTTTGGAGGAGGAAGCCCTGTTTCCTTGGGGAAGCTGGGGCATCACCGCTTTGGGAGCCCCACGTGGCCCTCCCCACCCCATCACGTGGCTGCGCAGAGCAGATTTTCCCCTGAGTCTCCGAGTCTCAGAGCCCCACGGTGGGGCAGACCAGGCTGAAGCCTTCTGGCAGTGCCAATCTCTGGCCAGGATGTCCCGTTGTCTTCTTGGGCGGCTGCCTTCCGTTGAAGACCCCGCTCTGCTGTGGCACCCTGGAGGCGTCCCGTGGAGAGGCAGCCACGTGAACTTGAGACTTTTCCTTGAGAAGCTGACCGTTCATGGCTTCATGCCCGTTCAAGATCAGGCAGACAAAAAGCATCATTAGCAGTTGAATTCCTCAGCCCCTAAAATGGCTTTCCCCCTCCAACTAAGTCCACAGAGAGAACTACAGGCTGCGAGCTACTGAGGTAGGAGCCGAAACCTGTGAGAAATAGATGACACCATTAAGGCTCCAGGCAGGAAGGTGCCAGAATGGCTATTCTCCATGTGGTCCCTTGCCCTGTGCTTGGATCAAATGGGCAAACAGTCCTGCAGACCGATGGGCTCGGCAAAGAGACAGCTGCCCCATCCAGGGCCACGCGGAGAGCCAAAGCCTGCTCTCTCTCGCAGCCCAAAACACTGTCCATGGCTCAGCCGCCAGAGCGGCCAGTTCCTGCCTGGACCTTCCTCCTGTGGAGCCAAGGGAATCTAACAAGGCCTGCTGGGGGTTTTGCACACTTCAGGCCCAGGACAGCTGCAGCAGTCACTGCAGGGACTCAGGCCACTCAAACCAGCAGAATGGGTGCTGAGTATGTGCTGCAGGACAGCAGGCAACCAGCTACTCCGGGGGCTCTGCAGAAGTGGCCAGCTATGAGCGGGAGATCCTGAGAAGCCCCGGCCCTACTCCACCAGGCACAGCTCTTTGCACTGGCCCACCATGAAGCCAGGCAGACTGGCTTCTTTTTATGAAGGATCTAGTTATGTTACCCATGCTGGCCTCAAACTCTGGGGCTCAAGCCATCCACTTCTCGGCCTCCCCAAGAGCTGTGATTACAGGCGCAAGCCACCAAGTATTTTCTAAGCCAACTCAAACGCTGTAGGAGCTCCTCTCAGGATTTTCTTCTCTCCCTGTAGCTGGGCCACCTCCCCTTGGGAGTGGCTCCTCCCCCATTCCCTGATTTTGGTCCCACCAAGACCTGAATTCATGATGTCAGCAGCCAACACTTGCTGAGTCCCTGGGTTTATTGATTATCCAATTAAAAGTTCACCACAATCCTCTGAGGATGCTAGCATTACCACCCTCATTCTACAGATGAGAAAACTGCACCTGATGGGTTCATTAACCTGCATGAGCCTTGGTAGAGCCCGGAGTGCCTGGGTGGTTATCTCATAGAGGTAATTCACCAAATCAACCCACCTGTGGCAAATGCTTCTTAAGGGCCAAGTACTATATCAGTCAGCTCCCTGTTGCCGAGACCAATACCTGAGTAATTTGAAAGGATGAAAGGATTATTTTGCTCAGTTTCAGTCCATGGCCCCTGCAGCCTTTGGGCCTGTGCAATGCATCATGGCAGTGCTGGGGGTAGAGGAAGCTGCTTACTGCATGCGGAAGGAAAGCAGAGTGAAGAAAAGCAAGGGTCCCGGTACCCCTTCCATAGGCCCCACCTCCTAAAGGTGTATTGGCCCCAATAGTGCCACAGGCTGGTGACCAGGCCTGCGTGACACATTTAGGGTCCAAATGATGAAAAGTACTGAGGTAGATGACTACAAGAGTTATAAACGGTCCTTGCCCTCAAGGCAATCTTGACCGACAGTGAGGAAGCTGCCCAACAGGTGCTAAGTTCAAACTGCAGTGTGAAGGCATAAAGAGAAGGGGTCAACACAGCGAAGGTCCAAAAGGGAGGAAGCCGTCCCCATGCACAGGACACTGACTTTACTGCTCACAACAGTTCCGTGAGACACTAACTGTTATCTCTGCTTTAAGGATGAGGAAACTAGGACACAGACAAGATAAACGACCATTCCAGAGTCACCCAGGTGGCAAGCCAGGAAGTAAAGAGAACAGTGGGTGCCGGTCTGGCAGGCTGGGCTCAGGGCCTTCCCATGTTTGGGTGGCACTGCGAACTTGCGGACTGATGATGGTCAGGAAACTTGGATTTTGCAGTGGGCTGGGCCAGAGGTGTGGGCACTCAGGGGAAGGGAACACGAGGCCCAGTAGAGCCGGAAGCCAAACTAAGAAACACAGACTCCGTCCTGCTGCCCGTGGAGGCACCTTACCTGGAAAGGATGGGAGGAGGATGGGCAGGCCTAGGGTCAGGGTGCATCTAGGGAGCCTGTGGGACATAGTAACACCACTTCCAGGCCAAGGAATGGAGGTCCAGCTGTGCAGGCCAAGCCTTCTGGGAGGTGAAGTGGGTATAGGGCAGGGGTTTTCAACTGCATGCAGATCTGGAGCCCCAACTCCTCCCGATGAGAATTCCTGCTGCAGTGAGAAGGGAGAGGGCCCACAGGTCAGGACCTCGCAGAGCAGCCGCGTTCAAAGCCTGGACAGGAAGCTGGCAAGACACAAGGACAGATGACAGAGAAGGGAGGAGAAACAGCAAGTGAAGCTGATCCTGGAGGAGCTGCTTGTATGAAATGTCACCGGGAGGCCAAGCACACGGAGGTGGGAGCGGGGACGGTGGCCAAGGGAGAGTAGAGGATAGGAGTGACTGAGCCAGCAGGGAGGGGATCTCGAGGCAGAAGATATAGGGGCTTCCCAGGGGAGACGGTGCCTCGGCAGGTGACGGGGGCTCTATGGCCCCTCTGGTCCAGGGCAGGACCATTTGCTGAGAAAAAGCACAAGGTGCTAGCTGGGGGTAAGGGAAGGCTAAGCTGGGAAGACACAGGGCAACTCTGACCCTGCTCCTCCCAGTGTTGCACCGGGGTCTGCACAGGGTGGGGGGCTCCTGTTCAGCGGCCAGGTCTTGGGGCATGGTCATCTTGGGAGACTGCGCTTTCTCAGTCTGTTCCGGGTTCTTGTTCTTAGTTGTGTCCTCTCTGTGGCATTAAACCATGTGTCACTGCCATGCCGGGGCCTGCAGGTGCCATGCCACACGGCAGGACAGGACCAGCGGATCTCGGAGCTCCGCATCTAATCAGACCCCCTCCAGGCCTGCCTCTCGTCGGGGCTTCTGCAGGAGTCCACCTATCCCAGCGACTGACTACCAGGCACCGAGGGACTGTGGCCAGTCAACAAATCCCTAGGAAGGTCACTCCCAGGCAGCACTGTGCCTAGGCTGCGGTTACTGTCCTACTCTGGGCCACAGGCCCATGCCTTCAGCGCCTGCAGGTGTACAACTGCCATCCTGAGCAGG